GTAAATAGTCCAAAGTATGCATACATAATGATGGGTTCTAAATTAGCTGTTACTCCTAAGGAAAGAGATCTGGGAGTCATCAAGGATAGTGGGGAAAAGTGAATAGAGAAGTGTTATCTACCGTTTCCCACAATACAAAAAACAGAGGTCACGTGATGAAATTCATAGGCAGCAGGTTTAATACAACAAGAGGAAATATTTTTTTTTACACAATGCAAAATTAATCTGTGGAACTCATTTCCATGGGATCGTGTATTGGTCAAAAGTATACCTGTGTTCAAAATAAAGGTTAATGAGGTTGACAGATTTGTATCTATATAATATAGCATTCCAACTGTGTTCTATTGTAAGGCCGTTCCACTCCAGTAGCTTTGTATACACACTGGCCTGGTTTGAGATTGAAAAATCTTAGCTATGTCATTTGGTTCCCTCTCTTCTATTATAAATCTTAAGAGATACTGACTCCCTTAAGGGAACTTTAAGTTTTTCCTTTGGCAAATTTGTGTATTTTGAGGATGCTGGAGGAGTTGCTATTACCAAGCAGTAATTATTTTAGTGACCGAAAGAGTTATTTTGAGCAAATGGAAATATGCAAGTTCTCCCTCCTACACAGACTGGCTTAGTGAGCTCTCTATGATGGCATTAATGGAAAAAATGACTCTGTCTTATAGTAACACTTGGAAAACATATGAAGATATCTGGTCACACATGAAACTATTGCATACTTTCGCAGTTTAGTATTTATTAGTCTTCAATACTCAGAGGATATGTTCTCACATGTTTGCCTATTTAGTCACTTTAGTAGTTGATGTCCTGGATGACCTCTGCGGGTTCAGGGTTTTTATTTGTTTACTTGTTTGGTTCCAGGTTTACAAAATAACGAGCATTGAATTTGGTTATTTATATGCTAGATTCATCTCGGGCATGTATTTATAGATGTTTTGTTTTGTTATATGTTTATATTTAATGTCAAAATAATAAAATTAAGGTTTAAAGAAGGCTCACTCATTCACACCATGGCTACCCACTATCCCCATTCTTTCTATTTCTCATTGCAATTGGAGAACCACTGGCTACTAGGGTTAGAGAGACTGAGATAACATAGGGAATAACAACCAATGCAGCTGTGTCAATTTACACATGCTGAGGATCTGCCTAATTTACCTAAATAAATACAACTGAATAGGAGATGCAAATGTAAAAAATGCTGAGTATCTTCTTCCTATAACTCAGGAGGTCTGACAAGGACTTGGGCCACCTAAATCAGTCCTTTCAGACCAGAACTGATTTATTGCCATATCAATCACCCTCTCTAATCCTACATTTCTGGAGAGCTCTCCTCAGTGCCTCCTTGACCTCTTTGTTTCTCAGGCTGTAGATGAGGGGATTGACGAGGGGTGTAAAGACTGTGTAAAGGACAGAAAACACTTTGTTTGGGGCTCTGAGTGCACCGGTGTTTGGTAATATGTAGACAGTAATTAGGGTCACATAGAAAATTGTAACCACAATAAGGTGAGAGGAGCAGGTAGAAAATGCCTTTTGCCTCCCAGTGGTAGAAGGGATTCTCAGGATGGTGGAGATGATATAAACATAAGATGACAGGGTCAAAAGAAATGGCGGGACAGTGTCTATGGAGGCGAATATGAGGGTCACCAAGGTAACCAGACTGGTGTTACTGCAGGAGAGTTTAATGACTGGGGTGAGATCACAAAAAAAATGATCAATTTCATTAGGGCCACAGAATGCTAATTGCGACACCAAAGATATTAATATGCTAATAAGTATGAATGAACTTATCCAAGATCCAGCTGCTAGCTGGATACAGAACCTGCCATTCATACGGGTGACATAGTGCAGCGGTTTACATATTGCTAAGTAGCGATCAAAAGACATTACAGCTAGCAGATAACACTCAGTGGTCAGTAGCAGAGCAAAGCAGTAAAACTGTATGATGCATTGGCTGACAGAAATGGTCCTATTTCCAGTCAGGAGACTGGCCAGCACCCTGGGCAGGATTGTGGAGGTGTAGCAGATTTCCAAGCAGGACAAGTTTCCCAAGAAGAAGTACATGGGGGTGTGAAGGTGCTGATCAGCCACAACTAGTGCCGCAATGAGCATGTTCGCAGCCATGGTGACTATGTAGATCACTAGAAAGAGCAGGAAGAAAAGAATGTGCAGTTCAGGGAGGTTCCCAAATCCCAGCAGGATGAATTCTGTGATAGATGTTTGATTTTCCCCTTCTCCTTTCTCCATGAGATGTACGTCGGTTTCCTCTTTTTCTCTATCACTAGATATGTCACATGGAGAGAGGAGAAAGTAATAATTAGTTAGGGCGGATGCTGTACAATGAAGCTGGGTGGATTTCCCTCCATTTGATTCCA